CCCGAGCTCTCGCTCCACGAGTTCCGGCAGGCCTGGCTCAGCCCGCCTCCCGCGCCCAAAGGGACCCCACAGGAGGGCGTCGACGTGCTGGCCGAGACGCGGAAGATTCCCGCGCGCGATGGCGCTGAGGTTGAGATCAAGATCTGGAGGAGCAAGAACGCTGTTGGGAAGGCAGTGCTTGGGATGAGGTTCCACGGCGGCGGGTGGGTTGTCGGGGGACACATGACGGAGGAGCCTGAGAATCTGATGTTGGCGGGGTTGGGGAATGTCGTTGTCGTGAGCGTGGACTACCGGACGTGAGTTTTTGAACTTCTCTCAAACGATGACTTCCAAAGACAGCCTCTGAATCGCCTACTGACATACTTGTAGAGCCCCCGAGCACAAATTCCCCCTCCCCCTAAACGACTGCCTCGACGCCACGAAATGGGTAAACCCCTCTCACCAGTCCTCCATCCCACCCAGCAAACTTGCAGACTAACCATCGCCAGTGCAAATCCAACGCCTCAACCCTCGGCATCGACCCCGAAAAGATCCTCCTCCTCGGCTCCAGCGGCGGCGCGAACATCGCCATCGTCACGGCCCTGCGCATGCGCGAGGAGCACGTCTCGGGGCTGCTAGGCCAGGTCCTCGCCTTCCCAGTGACCTGCCACCCGGCGCTCATGCCCAGCGACAGGTACGAGCTCGCGAGCTACGCGCAGTGCCACGACGCCGCCATCGTCGACGCGCGCAAGATGGAGTTCTTCTGGGACGCGTACCTGCCCGGCCCGCCGGGGGGTGTCGAGCCGCGGGCATGGCATTCGCCGTTGTTGGCGGAGGAGGGCGGGTTGAAGGGGCTTCCTCCTGTTTGTAAGTCCTCTCTGCTTCTCATTCAAAGAACGCTAGGAGTAGGTGCTGACTCTGATGTGACACCGTCAGTGATGCAAGTCGCGGGAGCTGATCCGCTGCGCGACGAGGCCATCGCGTTTGCGGAGCGCCTGCAGGAGGAGGGGGTGCCGACGGAGCTGCACACGTACCAAGGCATGCCGCATTGTTTCTACATGTTTGAGGGGCACCAGTCGACGGCGGAGTATTACAGCCGGGTCATTGGTTTTGTCAAGAAGATTGCGGGGGACGTGGCAACGCGGGCGAGGTTGTAGATCTCGAGCTTCATCAATAGACACGGCTAACTCGTTTCAAGTGACAATTGGGTATAATATTCCGTGCGTTTCAGTGTCTCGACTCCCTGTGTTCCACGCAATTTATCTCTGCGCTCCCAAGTGGTACGATGGGATGTTGAAGATTAGAAGCCAATGAAAAGGTTGAAGGCGACACACTCCACACTGTCGGAAGTTTGACTCATGAATCCAGTATGATTGAGTGGTGTATTTTCCACGTTTTAACCTATTTCAGAGTAAAAATACCCCGAAAAATAACGACTCCCGCAACGCCTGTGTCTAAGTGCACATACCCACAACTCAAGCAGCATGATGTTCCCTCTTTGTCTCCGTCTTCACAAGCTTATACAAGATATCAGTTCTCAAAGTGTACTTTGTACCTTGAATGACATCGTCGCCAGAGTGGTACAGCCGGTTATGCTGGAAAATGAGAACCCTTCCCGCCTTGGGGTCTACGTCCACCTTCCTTCTCTCATCATTTGACAGGAACGACGTGGCGCCCCCCACCAGGTCCGCCTTTTCTTTTCCAACCTCGGCAACAGAGTCGTTGAGATACAGATGGACGGTATAGTGCGTCCTATACACCGTCCCGTCTTCCATCTCCTCACTGTAAGGACCGTCGCAGTGAGCTGGCCCCTTGTTAGTCACAATCAGACCCCTCATCGCCGAAGAGGACCCAAAACTTACGTCTGAAAAACTGCCCCTTTCCATATTTCAAAAACCTCATCCGCTTATTAAACCGATCAAACACCCAATCCGTCTCGAACCCCCTATCCGGCCTCGCAACCCCCTCAAACGCCGCCAGCTCCTCCCTTAGCCCCTCCGCCAGCGCGCACCGCGCCCACAGCCGGTCGACGACCTCCTGCTCGTCCCAGATGATGCGGTCGCTGTTGCGGTACTCGGGCTCCAGGATCTCCCAGCCCTGCGCCATGCTGACCAGCGCGGGCTGCCACGGCTTGTCCGCGGTGACGGCGCTGGCCTCGGCGAGCGCGAGCAGCTGCGCGCACTCGGCGCGCGTCAGCACATTGTCGAGCACGACGGCGTAGCGGCCCTCGTTCTCGGGGAGCTGCGTCTTGGACCAGTCGATGCGGGTGAGCGCCACGGGCGGGGCGCCCGGCGGCGGGGCGGCGAGGAAGTCTGCGGGGACCGGCACGGGGTTGGAGGTGTAGAAGGTCCGGACGGGCTGGGGGCCGCGTTTCGGGGGCGGGGTCCGCTTTTTGCGGCTGCCTGGGAGGAGGGAGCTGAGCGACATTGTGGCGGGTTGTGTGCTCAGACGGCACACGGTTTGCTTTGGGGTGTTTTTGTGTCTGGGGAATGAGATAGGTGTCAACATGGGTAGTATCGAGACTGGTGTTGGGTTGAAAGAGCGGCAATCTGGGCGCCGCGGCGATGGGTATTTACACGCGGTGAGGAATCTCACTGCCTGGAGTTGGCGTCTGGGCGTAGCGGGAGCCTGGCCGTGGCGGTGTCGGATTGGCCTCAGCCGGAGCGGGTTGAACGGCATGCTAGGTTGTCCTTGTGTGGAATCGGCGCCAAGCTAGAGGGAAATCTTGAGTTTTGTACTTGGGTGTCATGTTGGAATTTCTGGAGGCTAAGTCTTTGATTTTGCCACGGGTCAAATGACGGGAAGATTCAACAACCTTGATGATTTGAGGAAGAATAATTGCAGCCTAAGGACGGTGGTTGCGGGTGAGAACGGTGCCGAAGGGAGTTTCAGGGTCTGTTCCGACAGGCTCAGGCTCCGAGGACGCTAAAGGTTCCGCTAAGCTTTTACTGCGCCCAGGCAGCCACTGCCTGGGTCTGCCCCAGGAGTTGCCTGTCAGATCTATGACTATTGACCTATTGTTACACGTGTACCATTCCCATCTGATTGAAGCCTCTTATGCGGTCGTGAGAATTAAAATGCGTCTCATGGTAAGCTGACTTGGCTGTCAAGTGGCCAACTAGTCTGGTAGCAATTTGTCTTGGTGGCCACATATGCAGTCACCTTAAGGCCATGGCCAAAAGAGAAAGGAAATTATTCGACGGCCTCAAAATCCTCTTGACTTAAGGATCTACTAGTAGCTAATTCCAAGTGCACTGTAGTCTGTGTACCGTAATGTTGACAGACTACGCTTATCCGTTCTGCTTTGCGTCTTTGTGGATATGGCGACGATTGTGGCCGCAATTTACGACCACGAACTCGACAACATTATTGCTCCTCTTGTACCATCCATCTGTAATGGCGGTTTAATTAGACGAGGAAATATGTCAAGAGTAATGTAATGATTAGCTCGTTCCACAAGCATTTATCCTAGGCTTCAAGTTGATGCTCACCGACATAGTCCAGAGAAACATAACAACCTCGCCATCTCAAAGGCGAAATGCCATGCCTCATAATCTCACCGAATCCTCACAATTTAATTAAAGAGTCGTAGGCATATATACCATCACCGTGTGATGGGACGACCATAAGATTGCTTGATGTCCAGTCAACAAGGCACGTTCTCCTAACCACAGCATCTCACGTGTATCCACTAACACCACACGTCCAACAATCAATATCCCAAGCCCAAAGGCCACTTCCAGGTGCTGAAGTAAAAGCTTGGTCAAAAGTGAAGTTGTAAAACAGACAAGTCCCCGTGCTAGGGTCCCACGAGAACGACCGGCACCGCGGCGGCTTGCGCGCATCGGTGCACAGCTCATGGCACCCAGCCAGGCCGTCCTCGGGTCCGTCTCCGCTCTCGAACCTCCCCCAGCTCTTGACATCGCCCTCGCCCGTGAACCTGGCCTCAACCTCGCACTTAGCCGTGGGCGACAGACAGGTCTCAACGACTGTTGTCGCGGACGTCGTCCGCGTGGGGACCTCGTCGATGGGGCCGAGCTCGCCGCACTCCCAGCACTCCTTGTCCCAGATCCAGTAGCCGCTGTCTGCCTGGGGCCGGGCGACTTCGGAGGCGGGTTTGTTGTGGATCAGGCACCTGCCGTTGGCGAAGAAGGAGAAGGCTTTGCACTCGCCCCAGGTGCGCTTTGCGTTGCAGAACTCGAGGCACTGTTCCGGGCTTGCGAGACCGTATTTGTTGCCGAAGGCGCCGCCGCTCCATTGGACTTGGACGCCCCACATTGCGCCAGGGGAGAGGCACGGGGAAGACGTCGTGGCTGGGGGTGCGGTTGTGGAGGCGTTGGCACTGGCTAGAGCCAGGCTGGTTACAAGAGCGATATAGTTCATGTCGACCATTTTAGACGTTGATGGTGTACTGTGTACTCAGCAACTAAGAAACAAAGCGAGGAGTTTGAATCAAGTCACTTATATAGTTTACCCTGCCATAGAGGGAACGGTCCAGCGGGGAGCTATGTTTGCTGTCTTCGTAAATTTCAGGCCATGGTGGCGGAAGGATATGCAGTAGCGTGGTCCGTTAGCCAGTGAAGACTATGCGAGTATGATCAATACATGCGAGTTGCTTCGTATTATTTCTCGGCATGCTGTAGTGTTAGGCGAAGGATTTGCAACAAAGTTCCTCAATTCGCCCGATTAGTTGGCCCATGAGCACTCAATGTTTGCTCGTATGATCATGTTCACAATACGATGCGGGTTCTGAAAACCTTTGGAGTAAGAACGATGCCATAATCGTAAGTCTGTATGAGAATGTCGAATAAAATCTGAGGGTGCGTAATGTGAGTAGTTTTCAATAACATGAGTGAGAATTATGCGAAGGTGACATGAGAGAAGAACATTTTAGCAAATTACTCAAGGACATGACGGGCTTGTGTGCATGATTCATTGTTAGTGATGTGTGTATCAAACTGTAAAAGAAATATAGTATGCAATCTGTACGCCACCTGGGCAGGCTGTCATGAACACCGATATCAAAGGTCTTCATCCTCGATCTCGTACTCCGAGTAATCAGCATCATCATCTTCCTCCTCTTCATCAGACCCATCGGAGTCATCGGAGTCCTGAGCAGGGTAATGTTCAGGAGGCAGAATATCTCGCTTTTTGAGATCTTCTTCACTCATCGGCCCTGGAACATATCGCCAGGTGTCTGTCACGACAACATATTCCATCGTATCCCCATCTCCGTGATGATACCACTTCGTGCCTCCAAGAGCACTCTTCCCATGCCACCTCCACTCCACCAGCTTCGTACCTTCAGCGCTCAAATGGCCGCCCTCCTCCGAGTCCCCAACACTCAGTTTCCACTTCTTGTTCCTCTCCACGATCTTCATCATCGCATCCTTTTTCCGAGTGATGGTCTCGTACTCCACCTTGAGCTCTCTAAGCCCAGGAGGCCCGCTGAACCGCCGCAGCCAACCTTCCTTCATTCGCAGAGGAGTATCGCTCTCCCAGTACCACCAGTCAGAGTAGCGAATTGTGATTGTGAGCTTCTCTGGGTTAAAGTTTGGCTGGTGAAAGAGGCGATGCAGCTCAGTCCCATTTTCAAATCTGAACATTTGCATGAAGAAGCGGACTTTCTTGAGGTCTTGAGATTGTTGAGGCGTGAGCTTGCGGAAGAAGGATAGGCATGAATTCATGCCTGTCCGGCCCTCTGGACCACGGTCTAGATGCAGATACCCTATTAGTGTCATGAATCCTACATGGAATTGAGACTGACCAAACCAGAAAGCCCATTCAAGCTCTCTCAAGAAGGCCTTTTGACCTTCAAAGTAAGCTGCTTTACATGTTTGCAGGAGGGCGCTACTACTCTTCCGCGGACCCGAAAATCCCGGGCGATACCAGTACGAGTCTTCTGGATAGGCGTTCTCGCTGTCTTCGTATTGAACGAGCGCAAGAGCGAAGATTTCGTTGCGAATCTCACCAGGCAGAGTGCTGAAGAGTGGGCACTGCAGCTGGGGATTGCACGCTGTCGCTTGTACGTCGGTCGTTGCTGCGGTGTCCATGATTCGAATGATGACGCAATTGCAACTAGATGCGCTATTGAGCTAGAGACATAAAAAGCAGAAGTCTCGATGCGGAATGAAATAGTCTGATGTTGTGACACAAAGGCGGGGTTGGGCGCCTCTGCTGCCTGCTGCTGCCTGCTAACCAGGCGGAGTGACTGGAGATGTGGCGTCCATCCGCTCGCCCAACATCTTGCGGCCCAAGATTGGCCCGCTCTGAAGGAATTGGCCAATCGTCACATGACACTGGCTTGCCATTAATTGGTCTATTGAATCTCTCAAGTCTGCAAAGTCGAGTTTGCTTAGTTCTCCATGGTTGATAAAGCTTAACAAATAAACGAGCGGCGCAAATTATTTCAATGCTCCCCCAGAAGCGCCTGACTGCATTTTCTTCGTTCCCTCAAGGCTCGTCCGCCTTGGGAAATGGTTCCAACAAACGGTCATCATCCTCATCGGTACCATCCGATGCTGGAAGTGTCTGTCAGCAGAGATGAGAGAGAACGATTTTACCAGGTTTGACTTACCAAGCTGATCAATCCAAAACGATGCAATGCTAACACCGAATTCACACCCGTTCACTTTCAAAGAGCGGGAAATCTTCCCTTCAGACAACACCTCATCATCCAGAAGCAAGCATGATCGCTTCTTCCACGCTTCAGAAGTACCCGCTGGTTGGACGAGTACCAGGCGTTTGTGGGGCACTGTCGGAAACGTACGGTTCCTGAAGCCACGAGCATCGCGCACAAAGTCGCGGTAGCCGTGCGGATTGTCCTTGAATTCGAAGGTCAAGCAGAACAGTTTACCGTCCTTGAGCAAATCATCTTTGGTCTCAGAAAGTAGGGGCAGGGTCTTCTTGGTCCCTGGCGCAATTCGAATTCTCCAGACTGGCTCGTGTCCTGAGGTTGATATGCACGGCGTAAAGAAGCCAGCCGAAGTGCGAAGAACGGAGAGGAAATGAGGTTGAAAATGAGGTTGGTATCGGTTTCTTCTAGTACGGATGGTAACAGCAGACCCATCACGCAGCTGTGACGGGGAAACAAAAGTGTCAGAAGTCGGCGCAATACCGCAGGGCGTTCACAGAGGATGGTACTCACATGACCCGCGTCACGATTCTTGATAGTCCAGATTCCAAAGTCCGGGTTCTTTCCCCAACGGGCATGATCGTAAGACATCACTTGAGGCCCCGAGAATCTGTTCGGAGGTGTCAGCATCCGGCAAGATTTGATATTTCGTGTTGAAGATTTTCACTTACCTATTGGGCACAATGGCCTGTTCACCAACACTGTCAAGTTGGACTGCTACCGAATCATCGTGAACGAGGTACTGATCTTGGTCATCTGCTTTGGTTCTCAACCGCAGTTGAGCAAATAGTTCACCACTCGAGGTGACGTCAATGTGATCAGACATGTGCTCTACCGATTTGGCGCTGGAGAAGAGCTTAACGACATCTCCCAGCTCTGACACTTCACATCCGGCCATGGACTCCACGATGCTTTTCAAGTCGGCTCGCTGCAAAGGATTAGCCGCTTGATCTCCAGAAACCAGCAATTATTTCCGCGGTAAGGAGTAACACACTTCGATAACCCTCCAATTTTCGTGATTAGTCACCGATTGACACCAGCGCTGAGGACTTTGCGTGTGTTAGCAACGCTACAGAATAGCGGGATGTCCAGGTTGATGCACCTGGATGCTAGAATGGTGTTGCCGCCGATGGCTTCGAATACCACCTGCTCACTATCATTCCTGCTACCATAGCTGTTGCTTTGATCTGTATCCTGCGATTCCTGACGAGTGTAGCCGGCCCCGGCATCTATGGGCTACAATGAAAAGGATGTTAGATTCAGCAATAAGTGTCGTTGAAAAGAGGTTAACTTGCCGAAGAGATTGCGAGGCCAATCGTTCGCTTGAAATCTTGCTTCGACTTTTCCTGCAAGGTCTGCTCGCTGGCTTCTCGAGTTTGTGTTGAAGTCAACATTCCGCCGATGGTTACCTCATGTGCGAAGAATTCACCTGCACATTGAGTCAGCCGTAGACTCAGACACAGATCGTAAGCGAAGGGCTCAGGGCACAAACCAAATGTCATCTGGAATTTACGGATATTCACGAGGGTGTTGTCTTTCTCGACCTTTTTGAGCTCCTTCATAAGTTGAGGAGTCGGCTCAAGGTCGTCAGGGGTTAGGAATAGTGTGGCTCGTGGCAGCTAGATCGATAGATCAGTATGTTGGCCGTTACTGCATCCACGCTTTCGGCAAAAGCACAGAGTCACGTACCTTGTACTGTCCAACCAACGTCTTGTTTGACTTCGTCTTCCCCTTCTCTTGTCCTTTCTGCATCTGCAAGAGAGTGTTTGCACTCATGCCAATGCTCACTTTGGAATAGCCACCGTTCAATTTCGCATCAACCGACGATTTGGCGAAGCTGTTTTGCACCATGGACTCTCTTACACCTTCTTCAACGTCAATCACATCGATTTTGCTGCCGTCGTTGACGCAATAGTTCGGGATGGCACCGCCGTCAGGTGTCTATTTGGCCGCCGAGCGCTTGAATCAGCCTATCGAGAGCCATCAAAGACAATAAGTAGAACATGGAACAATTACAACAAAATCCTCAAATATTGATGCATATGAGATCAATCTTAGAGATCGCAACATACCTGGTAATTGTTGAGCCCCTTTCTCAAAATGAAAGCTGCATTGCACCATGTCAGCGCTAGTCCGTTTATGCCTGAATGTGGTATTACCTGGTTTTGGAGCCATTTTGATCTGGTGAGTCTGGGGATCGGTGTACCAGCCATGCATGACATTGCAGTTCTTCATGATAATGTTCCAATCCTTTACCTCGAGAGTCGATGGGGAACTGTTGTCGATTTGAACCAAGTCAGATCAAGCTTGAATTATATTCATTTTTCAGCGCAAAGTGAGGGCGACGAAGACTCACATAATCTTCTTTGTCATCTCTACCTTGAGCATGTCTTGAGTGATTGAGCTTGGTCTGGATTTCAAGTCAAGGTAGGAGCTGGAGGGTGAACCAAACATGGCCCCGGGATTCTAGGGAAAAGTCAGTATCATGACCGCATAAGTACAGCATAAATATTGACACACATCGTTCTTTTGCATTTTGACCCAATTGGAAACTCTGGAAAATGCTCAACAGCAATACGCTGGGACGAGTAAGTGAACAGGGCAAACTCGATCTTCTTCGAGCGGGCAAATGATGACTTTGACAGTTCATGCAGTAATTAAGTATCACCAAGGAAAGCTTAGACTACGAGAAGAAAATGTTAATGTTTTCGTTCACGCGGTGTTGAGATGGCTGAGCTGAAGAGTGCGTTCGGAATGAGACACATGGTCTCATCCGCTTTTGTATATTCCGCCGTTGTGTAGGTGTTTGGCCTAGGCTTCGATAGGACGCCACAAGAACAGTTGGTCTCACGGATGCAGAAATCTTCTGTCTCAGAAAAGGGATCATGTCCCACGTGGCTTGAAACATCGCCAAATTTAGAGTTTCCAATGAAATATATAATGCGATATGGAAAAGTGGAATGCCGAACTCGATTCACCACGCGCAAGCAGACAATCCGACCACGAATTTCGCAACAAATTTGCTTCGATCATGGCTGTTGGTTCCAAGTCTCCCCTGGCATCCTTCCTCCAAAGGGAGGCAGAGAAATGGCGGGGACACCAAGTGGTCGTGTGGAAATGTGACAAGGGAGAAATCGAATTCTCCTGCGACACTCTACATGCTCACTTTGACCAAGGAGGAATGAAGCCCCATAACATGTGGGGTAAGGGCAGTCACAACTACGGACTGTGTGTCATCCTACATGGTACTTTCCGTTACATCAACTCCTCGGTTAACAAAGACAAGTAAGTTATTCAGGAGAGTCTGAGAACTTCGACAGTTTGGTAACGATTTGCCCACAGTCACAGCCTTTGGGTTTTATCAAATTCAACACAGCCAGATGCGTGCAAGTTTAACGAAGAGAAGGGCGTCTCCTTCGCAGCACAGTAAGAGTCGCCATTTCTTGTTTCGGCGACCCCGTGTAACTTGTTAACCATCATATTACATTAGGCCTCGACTGAATTCAACTTCGTGGATGAAGTATCTTAGCGATGAGTTACCACTTGACAAGGTGACACTCCCAGGAACCCGTTACAGCTGTGCTTCTGCCTCAAATATCGAAGACGCAGATGTGCACATTGAGCCCGAAAACGAGATCCTCATTGGGAAAATCAAAGAAATGCACAAACACCACGACGATTCGATTTCCCAGCAGCTGAATAAGGGGATACGACTACTTGACATCTGTTGCGGAGTCGACAATTTCGTTTCACACGGGCCTTTGACCATCGCAAATACGTACGTGGAAGATGCCTTGGATGCCGTCAAGAAATTCGTGAAGAAACAAGATACAGAGACCGTCGTCGTGTCGCTCAATTGGTCATCCTCCTGCGTTAAAGTCCTGGATTCTGCCAAACCTTGGCGGGGAGGGGGGTCATCAACTCATGACGATACAATCCCGCCCGGCTTCCGCGAGTACATTAAGGCGATCACCAAAGACGACGTTTACTACACTGGAAACACCTGGCCGAAGCTCAGCACCGCTCGCGGCAAGGTGGTGATTGCCTGCGGGTGGAAGACCGGTGATCACGACCATGGGGACCACTGGGGAGTGCATTATCAGCCACCAAAATGGCAGTTGGCTCGTTTCTCTACGCCATACGTACTTGACGAACTTATCGGCGAGAGATGGGAAAAGATTCAAAACGAGCTTCACACATCCCCGGGCAAGCATCAGGCTGTCGTTCTTGCCGCCTCACTGCAGCATGATCCAAACACGGAGACCGGATGGATTGAGCCACGCAAGACAGCCGCTGGTCTCCAAGAAATGTTGAGAAAACACATCGAAGAACGGAGGAAGAAGATATGCGGGCTATGGGTCCATGGCGACTTCATGGAGAAAGACACGATTATGGCGATAGCCAAGCTCAACTGGGAAGGCTTCAAGAAGAATGAGCGGCGATTCCAGTTGGGCATATCTCCTTCTCAGGCCCAGCAGGCACTTAGAAAGGCCATCTAGGCACTGTAGCAAATCCTCGAAGGACTCTAGCACAAGGCCACATACTTTTACCGCTCGAAATTCCAATCACAACTTTACAAGTTCGCTTGATGAGTATCGTTCGCACTCTGTATCGGGAGCTCCACGGATACTAACTTCGGTCTCATGATATCCGTAGTCACACTTGGGATCTTGGGCATGAATGAGATTGGGAAATTTCGGGATGCAGGCTGCCCATCTAGGCGACCCCTTTGTGAAACCACCATCAAGTCGCACTCGAGAAGGGAAAGGGCCTGGCGTATTCATTCGTTTCTTCCCGACCGCCTGTCTCGGCTCTTGAGTTTATGAGTGAGACATGGCACGAGATCAACGTCGTGCGCGGAATTTGCTTCCCACGCAGCCGACATGAGACACGGCTTGCTGGAACAACAAGACGCGAGGCGGATTGTGGCAACATAGGAAGCATCTTATTGTTCTTGGCATTGCCGATTGGAGGATTCAGTAATATGTCTTTTCTGGGCGCAGGGATTGCAGTAAATAGTTTGGCTCAAAGCCACAGGTTTCCCTCCCGCTTGCCACTGTGATCCGCAAACAGAACGCCACCTTCCGTTCCGCCTCCGAAACCTCTCACGTCCAATGAATGACGGGCTTGATAACCTTCAAAGTGATCAGCTGGCTGAATCATGTATGAAATCTGATTGTACTTACATGGCCGGTGTGCATATCATGAATTGCTTGGTTGAGCTCAGAGGCCGGATACGTCTTGCATAGCCTGTCAATGGGGAACTTCCCCTCTTGGTGCATTGAAATCAACTTTGGAATGAAGTCTGGGGGGTATGAGTCGCCTTCAATGACACCAATGAGTCGCTTGTTTGCCAACAAGAACGCCTGTGCGTCAATCTTGATGTCAGCCGCTGGCGGTGGCACGCCGACAAGTACTGCAGTACCAAGAGGCCTGACGCATGCAATCATGTCCTCAATGACCTTCAGAACGCCGGTGCAGTCGATCGCATACATGGGACCTCCGTCGGTAGCCTTCTGGATGTCACGAACGATATCTGAGCTCTCTTTCGAATTGAAGGTGTGATTAGCTCCAAGCTCCTTGGCTAGCTCGAGACGGCCGGGTACGATGTCGATGGCAATGATCTGGCCCACCTCCAAGTACTTCGCCGCCATCAGAGCAGCGAGACCGACGCTTCCCAGGCCGAAGACGACAATGGAGTCCGTCTTCTTTGGCTTGATCATATTCAAGACAGTTCCGGCGCCGGTCTGGAGCCCGCATCCGAGCGGGGCGTAAACCTCCATGCTTGCCGCTGCCGAATTCGGGCAACGGACGACTGATTGCCCGTTGACGACAGACATCTTGCAGAAAGACGAGTGCCCGAAGAACTGACTTCTCACTGAACGACCGTCGGCGAGCCTTCCGGGGGTACTCTTATCGCTGCGGACGGATCCAATGTTGAGTTTCGAAGATTCTGGGCAAAGAGCCGTGTGGCCACTCGCGCAGGTGTCACACGCGTTGCAGCTTGTAAAGGACAGTAGGACATTATCGCCCAAAGCCAGATCCTTGATGTTGACGTCTTTGCCGATTCCGCGAACGATACCAGCTCCCTCATGGCCGAAGATGGCTGGGAACTCAATCATGGGCAAGCCTCCCTTCTGGGTCACGACGTCTGTGTGGCCTAGAGCATAGATGATGAGACCACTAATTGCTACCTTGCAATGTGAGAGAGAATCTCAACTTACAGACGCCACTGTACTTCATCTCTACCAAAACCTCGTTGGGTCGGATCTCGTCGAGTATAACTGGAACCAGCTTGAAGTCTGCGTTGACCTCCTCCACGACATACCCGACTGTCTCAATGTTCTTTTGGTCACTACCGTTCGAAGCATTGTTGGCCGTCTGCCCGACAGCACGCTCGATATGTTCAACATGCTCAACATGCTCGGAGTTGGCGTCGGCCTTCAAGCCACCACGTGGTACTCCAACTTGCGTCGCGGGAATGGTAGCCATTTTGTCAAGTCAGGTACTGAGAAGTAAGGTAGAATGGTTCAAAACGACGAAGCGGATGTTGATATTTGGTCCTATTTAAACGATATGAAGTACGGAACAAAATTGCAGCAGCGGAATAGTAACGCCGACCGACAGGCGGCCGCCTTATCGCCACGTCTGTCTTGGCCCATAGACCTGATGCTGGTCCAAACGTTGGAACTCTCTCCAACCCCTCTGACGCGGTTTTCGGTCTCGGAAACCCCATGCCAGTGGATACCTGGGGTCCCGGTTTGCAGCTCGAGAGGCCGGGTAGACCCAGCGCGAGAGTTTCCGGTTTTGCGGGGGATGCGGGGAAGGATAGTCAACGGCTAAGATCACGGCATGAGAGTTTGGAAGCATAAGGCGCAGAAGAAGACAATTGGACGAGATCTGTGCCACCGACTATGGGAAAGCATTAACCGTCCGGTCTTTATGTGGGTTGGGACGACTTTCAGGTTGTTGCGAAGGGGGACAACTCGACGGAACAGGGGCTCGGAAGTTTGGAATCGGAATGCAGCGCCGCAGAGGTCGGAAATGGGGCGGAAACTTTTAAAACATTGTATATCTGACCAAATTAAATCATTTTCCATCTCTTTGACTATTGTCATAAAGAACTAACGAGAGCGAATGTCCTGCAGGTGACCGCATAGCCGCATCTTCCAACCGATACCCGTACTGCCGAGACTGGGGTCCGGGTCTACCGGATAGCTAGGAGGACTTGGCCAATGCACATACCGCGGCCGATGTAACGAATCGTCATCATCAGCAGGACTATTGGTCCTCAGCCATCGTAGGTAAGCGTCACTACCTCGGCGGAGAGTTACAGTCATGTCAGGCGGATCAGCTGTACTTATGGACCCGAGCTGATAGACTAGCATAATATGATTGTTACAAGCAAGTGAGGAGAATAGCACGACCAACGGACCGAGGTGCCGTTCGGGTAGTAAAGTGAGTCGGAGTCCTTCAGAATTCTGTATGACGCAAACCTGCAATCCTGCACTGCATCGTCGTAGCCCGGTGTTTAT